AACTGGTTGAGGCTGAAATCGTCCTTGAGGAGGAGAAACATGAACAGGGTGAGGCTGAAATCATTCTTTAGGAGGAGAAACCTGACCAGGTTGAGGCCGAAATCATTCTTGAGGGGGAGAAACCTGAACAGGGTGAGGCTGAAATTGTAATTGAGGAGGAACAACCAGAACAGGTTGATTCTGAAATTGTCATCGAGGAAGAAAAACCTGAAGAAGCTGAAGTTGCAATTATTCTTGAGGAGGAGAAGCCTGAACAGATTGAGGCTGAAATCATCATTGAGGAGGAGAAACATGAACAGGTTGAGGCTGAAGTCGTCATTGAGGAGGAGAAACCTGATCTGGTGGTTGAGGCTGAAATAGTCATTGAGGAGGAGAAACATGAACAGGTTGAGGCTGAAATTGTCATTGAGGAGAAGAATCCTGAACAGGTTGAGACTGAAATCGTCATTGAGGAGAAGAAACTTGAAGAGGTTGAAGCTGAAATTGTCATTCTTGAGGAGAAACCAGAACAGGTTGATTCTGAAATTGTCATCGAGGACGAAAAACCTGAAGAAGCTGAAGTTGCAATTATTCTTGAGGAGGAGAAACCTGAACAGGTTGAAGCTGAAATCATTCTTGAGGAAGAGAAACCTGAACTGGTTGAGGCTGAAATCATTCTTGAGGAGGAAAAACCAAAACTGATTGAAGCTGAAATTATAATCGAGGAGGAAAAACCAGAAGAGGTTGAGGCTGAAATTGTAATTGATGAGGAAAAACCAGAACAGGTTGAGGCTGAAATTGTCATTGAGGAGGAGAAACCTCAACAGGTTGAAGCTGAAATCATTCTTGCGGAGGAGAAACCTGAACAGGTTGAGGTTGAGGTTGTCATTGAGAAGGACAAACAAATTGTCATTGAAGAGAAGAAACCTGAACAGGTTGAAGCTGACATCATTCTTGAGGAGGAGAAAACTGAACAGGTTGAAGCTGAAATCATTCTTAAGGAGGAGAAACCTGAACTGGTTGCGGCTGAAATTGTCATTGAGGAGATGAAAATTGAAGAGGTTGAAGCTGAAATTGTCATTCTTGAGCAGAAACCAGAACAGGTTGAGTCTGAAATGGTCATCGAGGACGAAAAACCTGAAGAAGCTGAAGTTGCAATCATTCTTGAGGAGGAGAACCCTGAACAGGTTGAAGCTGAAATCATTCTTACGGAGGAGAGACCTGAACAGGTTGAAGCTGAAATCATTCTTGCGGAGGAGAAACCTGAACAGGTTGAAGCCGAAATCATTCTTGAGGAGGAGAACCCTGAACAGGTTGAAGCTGAAATCATTCTTGAGGAAGAGAAACCTGAACTGGTTGAGTCTGAAATAGTCATTGAGGAGGAGAAACCTCAACAGGTTGAAGCTGAAATCATTCTTGCGGAGGAGAAACCTGAACAGGTTGAAGCTGCAATCATTCTTGAGGAGGAGAACCCTGAACAGGTTGAAGCTGAAATCATTCTTATGGAGAAGAAACCTGAACTGGTTGATGCTGAAATCGTCATTGAGGAGGAGAGACCTGAACAGGTTGAAGCTGACATCATTCTTGAGGAGGAGAAAACTGAACAGGTTGAAGCTGAAATCATTCTTACGGAGGAAAAACCTGAACAGGTTGAAGCTGCAATCATTCTTTAGGAGGAGAAACCTGAACAGGTTGAAGATGAAATCATTCTTACGGAGGAGAAACCCGAACTGGTTGAGGCTGAAATTGTCATTGAGGAGGAGATACCTGAACAGGTTGAAGCTGACATCATTCTTATGGAGAAGAAACCTGAACTGGTCGAGGCTGAAATCATTCTTGAGGAGGAGAAAACTGAACAGGTTGAAGCTGAAATCATTCTTGAGGAGGGGAAACCTGAACTGGTTGAGGCTGAACTCGTCAGTGAGGAGGAGAACCCTGAACAGGTTGAAGCTGAAATCATTCTTACGGAGGAGAAACCTGAACAGGTTGAAGCTGAAATCATTCTTACGGAGGAGAAACCTGAACTGGTTGAGGCTGAAATTGTCATTGAGGAGGAGAAACCTGAACAGGTTGAAGCTGAAATCATTCTTATGGAGAAGAAACCTGAACTGGTTGAGGCTGAAATCGTCATTGAGGAGGAGAAACCTGAACAGGTTAAAGCTGAAATCATTCTTACGGAGGAAAAACCTGAACAGGTTGAAGCTGAAATCATTCTTGAGGAGGAGAAACCTGAAGAGGTTGAGGCTGAAATTGTCATTGAGAAGGACAAACCAGAACAGGTTGAGGCTAAAATTATTCTTGAGGAGGAGAAACTTGAGGTTGAGGCTGAAGTTGTCATTGAGGACGAGAAACCTGAACAGGTTGAGGCTGAGGTTGTCATTGAGAAGGACAAACCTGAACACATGTCAAGTACTGTAGCTCTGCCTGTAAGTGAATCTGTATCTGATATAGAAATAACACCCACCCCTTCACAAATCAGTGAGGTAGATATTGGGTCACAGGACACACTGCTGACCAGTACTGACCAGGAGGTGACCAAGACTGCCCCAGCACATGGTGAGGCATGATTGGATGTGCCAGCAGACTGCTTTTAATTGTGAACTCGAATCTAGCTATGCGCCTTATTTGCGATGCGTTACAAGGAATGGCTCTTATGCTCTGATAGACTAATAGACCCTCTGACTAAGAACCTGTAAACCCATACGATGAAGAATGTTGTGATTTCTTAGCTGTGTGGAAATTATATTTTTTTCCTTGAAAACAATATTTGAGTTTGAAAACTATTTAACCAGATTTGAAAACAAAATATCATTTAGCAACATATAGAGTAGTGTAATATGTCACAACATTCCATGAAGCATGGGTTGCACTTTGGAGCCACAAAGGCATAAACACTGATATTGTGTCCAATAAATTGGATTAATCTTTTTTCGTTTACAGCAGTCTGACAAGGGACATAACTCTATATCTATATAACAGACAACCTTTTTAATGTGTTTTGTTTGATTAGGAAGTCTTTAAATCTTATCTTTTGAACAGATTTTATTTCATTTAAAAAATGCTCCTGAAATTTAAAGGAAATTGAAAGATACAGATTATCTTGAAAAAAAATGTGTTAAAATGAAGTATTTAAAATAGTGAATTTTCTTGATGTATTTAATCTTCAGAATTAAATTTTAAAAATTGAATCTGGATAAATGAGGTTTAGCTATCTTGAGTATTTTTTTTTTATTTTTTTTATTTCAACCTATTTGATTATAAGTATACATGGCAGATGAATTGCACAGCAGGGAAATACCTATATTTTGTTCCTCTTCACCCACTGGTAATATGAGTTGTGTCCCTTGTCGGTGTATTCACTAATGATAGATGTACACCCTCACAAAGAGGAAATTCCATGTGTTAGAAATGATATACTTATGCATGACAGTCAAACCTGCAAGTTTTTGCAAATACATGTCTCAAACGTGAGGCAATTTCAAGATGATTCATCATGAGAGTAAACACTTTCGAACATTTAGCAGTTTTAGATGTTTTACATTATTTTTCAAAATAATTTAACTCACAACATATTTATCAAATCCTTCAATTTTTGTTAAGTTTCAGAAAACATATTGTCAGGTTTGACTGTGTCTAAAATTATCTCCCTGCTGTCAGGGTGGAGACTATCTCCCTGTCAGGACGTAGACTTTCTCTCTGCTGTCAGAGCCTGATGATTAAGTATTGTTACTGAACACTGTCTGAAATAGATCAGTCTTCACATTAATTGATATTTTAGATATGATGCTAATGTTATGCTCTGTTTTAGCTGAATGTGTCTTGCTCAATTTTGTTTTAAACAGATTTATTTTTCTTGGGCAGTTTAGCAGAAAAAATGTCAAAGTTTCAGTTAAGAATTGATAGCTTTTTTCATCATTAACTTAAATGCATTTCAAGAAAGAATAGCTGAATGTGTTTTGCTCAATTTTTTTTTTTTTTTATCAGTTTCATTTATTTGCCATCATTTATTTTCTGATTTTTAGAAGGAAAAGAACCATTGCCTAAGTTAAGATTGGTTGATTTTTTTTAATTTATTAACTAAAATGCATTTTTATGAAAGAATAGCTGCAATGAAACACAGAATATCGTGAGCTATGGAATGGCACGAAATAAGGTTGATAATTAAACTTGTTATTAATACATTAACTTCATAACTGTAAGATTGATTCTTTTATTATTACATATATTGTCTTGATGATTAAGCTTGAAAAGAATTTAAGAATAATGTGTTTTAAATTTGTAGAATGTATAATGTTAAGATTACTTTTGATTATGGTAAAATGCGATGGTAGCATATTGGTAAGTATAATGCTGAGGTTTCAAATATTTACTTTGTAGAATTTGTCCCTACACTTTATATTTATTCCCCTTATTTATCAGTGAACATTGATGTTATATTATAACCAAAGATAATTTGACCAGTCAGTAAGAAATGTACATCCCCTGATGGTAATGTACATCCACTGAGGAAAATGTACATCCACTGAGGAAAATGTACACCCCCTGAGGGAAATGTACACCCCCTGAGGGAAATGTACATCCACTGAGGGAAATGTACATCCACTGAGGGAAATGTACACCCCCTGAGGGAAATGTACATCCACTGAGGGAAATGTACATCCCCTGAGGGAAATGTACATCCACTGAGGGAAATGTACATCCACTGAGGGAAATGTACACTCATTGTAGGGAAAATTCAAGTGATAGCTATCTGACAAAACAGAACAATACTATTATATTTCAAAATGAAATTGAAGAGATTTTAATAAAAATTGAATGAAACTTCTAATTGACTAAATTGTGAAGATTTTGTACAGTGAAATCTTCAAAACTTAAAACAATTATTTTGCCTCTGTAAATTACTTGTGTTATGTGAGTAAGGTGTTGAATATACTGACACTGTTATAAACTTTGAATCATTTTAACCAGTATTCCTGTTTAAAAGAATTGATTTAATATTTCTCTACTATTTTTCATCCCAGCTCCAGAAGAAAAACTTGAGGAGTCCGTAGCAGAGGTGACCATTGATGTAGTGACCAAGGTTCAAGGTAGGTCACTGTTTGTTGCCCATTTCTCTTGGTTGTGGGTTCTGTTGCACAAAAATGAACATTTCCTCATGTACTGGCAACAATTGTACTAATAATTTCTTAATTTGATTCCAGTCAATTGGATCAATAATTTGATCAAATAGGTCAAATTCAACATTTTTATTTTCTTTCACAGATTAATGAAGTTAATTATAATTTTGAAAATTGGCAGTTTTGCTTTAAAATATTTAAACAAATAAGGTTGAGACCTTTTGTAATTTTGTTTTTTTGGTATTTTTGAACATCAAATTATATAAAACATTTGACGGAAGCAATTATTGTAAGATTTTCAAATGTACTTATGTTGCCAAAGGTTGAACATTTTCCTGATATCCTACTGAGTATATAAGCATTGCGCCCTCTTTTTAGTTTGTCCAGATCAAATTGTAGTTCACTTTCAGTGATAATGCTGCTCTCCGTTTTGCGCAGTGTATTTTTCCTTCAGTACACAACCTTGATGTAATTTCCTGACATTTATGCACATGTTCACATGTCCTTACATACCACAAAACCCAAAAGTACTGTATCAAGTAAAACCTTTGAACTCTGTACTTGGTTCCATGAAATTGATCCCTTTGACCTGTTTCTTTTTTTTCTACTGTATTATGTTGATATCATCATATGACCTTTGACCCCTGCCCTTTCTATTTGACCCCTGTGTATCCTCTGATCCCTTACCTCACTGTTTTATGTATATCCTTTCTCAGCAGCCGTTGACCTGGAAAGTGATGTGTCTCAGCTACAGATAGGTCAGAGCGACATCACCCTATCTGTGGCAAGGGAGACCACTCTCGATATTCAGGGGCAGATAACTCTTTCAGATATTAGTTCAAAAGAAACAGAGACAGTATCTGAGGAAATGACAGTATCTCAACCCGAGGACAAAACACAGCTAGATTTAACTGTTGTATCACAAGTGAAGGATATACCAGTCTCAGATGTCACAGAGTTTGTTACAACTCTTGATGAGGAACGCGGAGTCACTGCGATAACACAAGACATTCAAAAGGATGTACAAAGGTCAGTCATTGACATCACTGTGTCGTCCAAAGTAAAGGGTGTTGAAGAAGAACAAGAGTTGGAACATGTGACTGAAATTGAAGTGACCAAAGAGGACAGTGGGAAAACAGAGGATGTCTCAATGGAATTGGAAGTTTCTCAAGTGGACAAACAGGCAATCTCAGAAATCAAAGTTACAGAGGAAACTCAACCAACTGAGGATGTGACTGAAATTGATGTTACTACAGAAGACACTGGAAAAACAGAGGAAGTCACAATGGAACTGAAAGTTTCTCAAATAGATAAACAGGCAATCTCAGAAATCCAGCTTGCTGAAGAAACCCAACCAACAGAAGATGTGACTGAAATTGATGTTACTAAGGAGGACACTGGAAAAACAGAAGAAGTCACAATGGAACTGGAAGTTTCTCAAGTGGACAAACAGGCAATCTCAGAAATCAAGGTTACAGAGGAAACTCAACCAACAGAGGATGTGACAGACATTGATGTAACTAAAGAAGACACTGGAAAAACAGAAGAAGTCACAATGAAACTGGAAGTTTCTCAAGTGGACAAAAAGGCAATCTCAGAAATCAAAGTTACTGAGGAAACTCAACCAACTGAGGATGTGACAGAAATTGATGTAACTAAAGAAGACACTGGAAAAACAGAAGAAGTCACAATGAAACTGGAAGTTTCTCAAGTGGACAAACAGGCAATCTCAGAAATCAAGCTTGCTGAGGAAACACAACCAACAGAGGATGTGACTGAAATTGATGTTACTAAAGAAGACACAGGAAAAACAGAGGAAGTCACATTGAAACTGGAAGTTTCTCAAGTGGACAAACAGGCAATCCCAGAAATCAAGCTTGCTAAAGAAACCCAACCAACTGAGGATGTGACAGAAATTGATGTAGCTAAAGAAGACACTGGAAAAACAGAGGAAGTCACAATGAAACTGGAAGTTTCTCAAGTGGACAAACAGGCAATCTCAGAAATCAAGCTTGCTAAAGAAACCCAACCAACTGAGGATGTGACAGAAATTGATGTAACTAAAGAAGACACTGGAAAAACAGAGGAAGTCACAATGAAACTGGAAGTTTCTCAAGTGGACAAACAGGCAATCTCAGTAATCAAGGTTACAGAGGACACTCAACCAACTGAGGATGTGACAGAAATTGATGTAACTAAAGAAGACACTGGAAAAACAGAGGAAGTCACAATGAAACTGGAAGTTTCTCAAGTGGACAAACAGGCAATCTCAGAAATCAAGCTTGCTGAAGAAACTCAACCAACAGAAGATGTGACAGAAATCGATGTTACTAAAGAAGACACTGGAAAAACAGAGGAAGTCACAATGAAAATGGAAGTTTCTCAAGTGGACAAACAGACAATCTCAGACATCCAGCTTGCTGAAGAAACCCAACAAACAGAGGATGTGACTGAAATTAATGTTACTAAGGAGGACACTACTAGAAGTTTCTCAAGTGGACAAACAGACAATCTCAGAAATACAGCTTGCTGAAGAAACCCAACAAACAGAGGATGTGACTGAAATTAATGTTACTAAGGAGGACACTACTAGAAGTTTCTCAAGTGGACAAACAGACAATCGTGACAGAAATTGATGTTACTAAAGAACACACTGGAAAAACAGAGGATGTCAAAATGAAACAAACAGAGGAATTCACGATGAAACTGGAAGTTTCTCAAGTGGACAAACAGGCGATCTCAGAAATCAAGGTTACAAAGGAAACTCACCCAACAGAGGATGTGACAGACATTGATGTAACTAAAGAAGACACTGGAAAAACAGAAGAAGTCACAATGGAACTGGAAGTTTCTCAAGTGGACAAACAGGCAAGCTCAGAAATCAAGGTTACAAAGGAAACTCAACCAACAGAGGATGTGACAGACATTGATGTAACTAAAGAAGACACTGGAAAAACAGAAGAAGCCACAATGAAACTGGACGTTTCTCAAGTGGACAAACAGACAATCGTGACAGAAATTGATGTTACTAAAGAACACACTGGAAAAACAGAGGATGTCAAAATGAAACAAACAGAGGAATTCACGATGAAACTGGAAGTTTCTCAAGTGGACAAACAGGCGATCTCAGAAATCAAGGTTACAGAGGTAACCCAACCAACTGAGGATGTGACGGAAATTGATGTAACTAAAGAAGACTCTGGAAAAACAGAGGATGTCAAAATGAAACAAACAGAGGAATTCACGATGAAACTGGAAGTTTCTCAAGTGCACAAACAGACAATCTCAGAAATCCAGCTTGCTGAAGAAACCCAACCACCAGAGGATGTGACTGAAATTGATGTTACTACAGAAGACACTGGAAAAACAGAAGAAGCCACAATGAAACTGGACGTTTCTCAAGTGGACAAACAGGCGATCTCAGAAATCAAGGTTACAAAGGAAACTCAACCAACAGAGGATGTGACTGAAATTGATGTTACTAAGGAGGAAACTGGGAAAACAGAGGATGTCACCATGGAACTGAAAGTTTCTCAAATAGATAAACAGGCTATCTCAGAAATCAAGCTTGCTGAAGAAACCCAACAAACAGAGGATGTGACTGAAATTAATGTTACTAAGGAGGACACTACTAGAAGTTTCTCAAGTGGACAAACAGACAATCGTGACAGAAATTGATGTTACTAAAGAACACACTGGAAAAACAGAGGATGTCAAAATGAAACAAACAGAGGAATTCACGATGAAACTGGAAGTTTCTCAAGTGGACAAACAGACAATCTCAGACATCCAGCTTGCTGAAGAAACCCAACCAACGGAGGATGTGACTGAAATTGATGTTACTAAGGAGGACACTGGAAAAACAGAAGAAGTCACAATGGAACTGGAAGTTTCTCAAGTGGACAAACAGGCGATCTCAGAAATCAAGGTTACAAAGGAAACTCACCCAACAGAGGATGTGACAGACATTGATGTAACTAAAGAAGACTCTGGAAAAACAGAGGATGTCAGAATGGAACTGAAAGTTTCTCAAATAGATAAACAGGCAATCTCAGAAATCCAGCTTGCTGAAGAACCCCAACCAGCAGAGGCTGTGACTGAAATTGATGTTCCTAAGGAGGACACTGGAAAAACAGAGGATGTCACAATGGAACTGAAAGTTTCTCAAATAGATAAACAGGCAATCTCAGAAATCGAAGTTGCAGAGGAAACTCGACCAGCTGAGGATGTGACAGAAATTGATGTTACTAAAGAAGACACAGGAAAAACTGAGGATGTCACAATGAAACTGGAAGTTTTTCAAGTGGACAAACAGGCAATCTTAGAAATCAAGGTTACAGAGGTAACCCAACCAACTGAGGATGTGACAGAAATTGATGTAACTAAAGAAGACACAGGAAAAACAGAGGATGTCACAATGAAACTGGAAGTTTCTCAAGTGGACAAACAGACAATCTCAGAAATCCAGCTTGCTGAAGAAACCCAACCAACAGAGGATGTGACTGAAATTGATGTTACTAAGGAGGACACTGGAAAAACAGAGGATGTCACAATGGAACTGAAAGTTTCTCAAATAGATAAACAGGCAATGTCAGAAATCCAGCTTGCTGAAGAAACCCAACCAACAGAGGATGTGACTGAAATTGATGTTACTAAAGAAGACACTGGAAAAACAGAGGAATTCACGATGAAACTGGAAGTTTCTCAAATAGATAAACAGGCAATCTCAGAAATCAAGCTTGCTGAGGAAACACAACCAACTGAGGATGTGACTGAAATTGATGTTACTACAGAAGACACTGGAAAAACAGAGGAAGTCACCTTAGATCTACAAGTTTCAGAAGTTGAGATACAGATTGTCAAAGAAGCTCCTGAGGAAGAAGCATTAACTGTGGAAACCAAGGAGGAGGTTTCTGAGGAAGTAATAATTACAGAAACCCCTGTTGACACCACTGAGGATGTTTTTGAAG